GATTACTAAGGACAGTTTCATGAGGACGTGATAGTCCTCCTTAATTTTGATAGATTCCTAGACAGACCCAGTCAAGAACTGCAGCTTCTCCACGTTCTAGACTCTGTGCATTGAGCATTGCTAGAAACAACAGCATAACTCACAGTGTCATACAGTACGTTAGTACAGTGAGCAGCAGGCTGTCTGCCAGTTACTGATCGCTTTGGTTTGAGGGTTTCCAAGTGTTGGTGAAGCTTCTGTCGACGGATATTCTCTTTTTGTTGCTCCCTGCGCTCTGCGTCCTTAGAGGCTGCAGCACTGTGGAAAGCCAGTCAAACACACAACTGGAAAGTGTTCGTCTACATGCAAAGCATTAAATCTGAAACCCATCTTAGTTCATCATCCCCACTGTCTAGGATGATGGTGGCAAATGCTGATGCATTCATGAGCACCAAACCTTAGCAGAAAACCTGATTCAGATCTAAAACAGGGACAAAAATTCACCTTACAATCAAAGCACAAGGCCAAAGCTACAGTGGATTGGCTTAAGAATAAGAAAGTGTTTTTGAAGGACTTGAATCCTTTTGAGAATCTGTGAAAAGACCTTAAAAACTGCTGCCCATAAGCAAACCCCAAGTAACTTAAGCATAGAAGCAAATCTGCCAATTTGAAAGCTGACAATGACTCGTGGCTGCCCAATGACTTCATTATTGAATGAATACTTCAATAATGTCAGTTACAATAAATGTCAATGGAACTAAAGAGCAAAAATCAAATATGTTGATTGTATTTGATTTTTGCTCTTTAGTTCCATTGACATTTATTGTAACTTTTCTTACTCTTAGAAATCTTAAGTTTGAGCATTCAGGTTTTGAATAGAATATTAAGTTTTAAAAACATGAAAATGTTATTTTGGAATTTCACAAAATGGGACATCCTAGGGAGCGTCTGAACACTTGCAAGGGACCGTAGGGTTCATTGGGAGAAATCTTACCCATTACTATTAAGAGACCGAATAATAATACAGGAAAGTACCTCTTGTTGCCAGTGTGCGTCTCTGTCAGCTCTGGGCTGGCTCTCTCCATACTGAGCAGCCTTTCTTCTTGCGACCTGTTCTGCTCACTCTCTGGGCCAGACTGGGGGGGTTTTACAGCTACCCCCTGAGGCTGGGACTCTTCCTCACTCGTGCTCTGGGTTCCACAAGGCTCCTTTTTTCTCCTTGGTGCTCTGACCTGGAGATCTTTCATCCCGCCAGCGGTGTCCTGTCGTTTCCCACTGGCTTGTGCAAGACAAGCTTCACTCCTGTTTGTTTCACGTAGTTTTCTGAGCAGCAAACACTTTCCTGTGAGTTTACTGTGAAAAGAATATGGATTAAATAACTTTGGATTCCAAAAAACACAGGGAAATACAGGACTACATTTCAGAAACTGTTTACTCTTATAAAATGAGGCCCCAATATCTCTTGACTACCACCCCTCAGAATGTGTACTGTAGCCCTGTTCTGTCCTGTTCCTGTGGAGTTCATAAAGAAATTACGGAGAACGTGCAGGAGATATTCGAAACAGATACCCATTTTCTGTTGGCCTTGGCCTTGGGCTCTCCAGTGGCTTTGCAGAGAAGGGGTGTTTGGGAGGGTCAGGGTTGCGGAGGTCAATGTGGACTGTGGGAGAGTCCTTTCGTCTTTTCACCTGCAGCTCGGTCCAGTATTCACTTCTGACACACAAAGAACACACCCTGTTCACTCTATATTATTACATTTTATTTATAGCTAACCAACAACACGCCAGCTATTATTTCGGCAGATTTTGTTCCATAATTAGTGACGATGATCAGACAGCAATGAATGAAATAATTTACAGTGGCTGTACAAACTTCATATCGGCCTCATGAATGGACACCCGCCATGGCACACAAATTATAATGCGACTGATGCCAGGCACAACACAAAGCCTCACCAACAGCTCATATTAAATTGTTGTTTCGAACTCTTGGTTAAATAGGACAAATTGCTCCAAGAATCTTTTTACATCAATCTAATGTGTTGCTATTTGCCATAAGCTGAACAGTAACATTAAAACAATAATTGCACTTAATATAAATGTTGTGTATAATGTAAGTCACTCTCAAAAAGGGTGTCGGATATGCACGTAAATTAATCACTTTTTAATTGTTCGATGGTATTTGACATTGATTTTTTTGCCCTCCTATAAAGCCTGCTGGACTGGGCCCTTCAGGATCAAGAGTGCACTATCCTGCTTGAGACATCCTAGATATAACTGGAAGCGTTTATCTCATGGCTATTTATTATAGAGACCACCCTTTCACCCCAGTCTCCTAAAGGCACATGTTTATTACCGGAGATCTGATGGACATTGAGAAGATGAATTCTTCAGCTTCACGGATAAGCGGTCTGCATTTTGCCTCACACACAGGGCGGTCAGCTTCTCCATCAGAGCCCCCTCTGCCTTCTCCACAGCACTGTCTGAGGGTACTGAAAAGTCAGCTCATTAAGTACTTTCCTTTTAGTACTGGACACACAAATTCACAAAGAGAGAGTAAAGAAGACATTTGAAAATGCACAGCATACTGAACATTTTGAGTGGAGTGTTGCATCACCCGCAAAGGAAAAAGTAAGGAAAAGGTTCTGGGTTTCTGCATGGAATTAACTTTTACTTGTTCCTATACTGAATGTAGGCTCATTGTCATTGACCCTCTGATTTCTACTCTAATTTGTGTTTATTTCAAATTCATTTATTCTCCTATCACTTTGTCATGCAATTGCATGAAGTAGTTAAATGTTTGTCTTAGCAGATCCTTATCTTACATCAAGTGTTAAAAAATTCACAGCTTTCCATCAAACTGTTTATAGAGGACATCTACAAAATGAAAATCTTTCCTCGAAAGTGTTAAGCCCTTAAAATGTACCTGTTCCATCTGCGAAAGAACACTTCAGTGATTTAATCTCAATTTGTCAATACCTGTATTTGTTTCAAGAGTTGTCACATCTTCTGCAGATGAAGCCAGATGTCCATTCTGTTTCAGTGTCTGTAAAACTTCGTCTAGGTCCCACTGCTCAAATGACTAAAACCAACACAGGAAAGAAGAAACCGTCAATGTGTAGCTTCTGATTCAGTACATTTATGAAGTAGAGAATAAGCTCCTAAGATTTTAGTTCCATATCATCTACTTTTTGCACACCCGAAAATAAACATTTGGGGCATGTGAGATAATTATATTTTTTTCTTATGGTGATTTCTGTTATGTTAAAAATGGACAAATTGTACTACAATTTACTGTTGGTTAAGAAAATTAACCTATTCTAAGGGGGCAGTATTGTGCAGTTGTGTATCATATCTCCATACAGTATATACGAGCCATCATGGATGCAGAGGGTGATCTCATTCATTCAAAGCATGTTATTTTCCATTAGAGCGTGTGCCCACTAGTCCATTCCGGGTGTGCTCATGCTCCATGGTGTAATTTCACAACATCATTTTTTGAATAAGCCACCTGACATTATAAGTAGCCCGATCCGACAGCTGCCTAATAAATCTGCTGGATAACTCTTTTATAGCACAAAGTCAAATCAGACCACAGGTGTCACTCACCTCCAAGGATAAAACAGGAAATCCACTTGATGGTTCAACATTTGTTTTCCTGGAAGGCATATCCTGCACAGGACCATCTCCACTGTTCTGCACTGAACAGTCTTCTCCAGCACTGTTCACAGAGAGGTTAATCTCAGAAGCTGGAAAGCTCGGTATTGTGGCACAATTCCCAGAAATCCTGGACCTCCTGGCTTGGCTGGTGCCTAATGTCTCACCCTCCTGAGCTCCAACAGAGACACAGGCAAGTGAAGGGGATTCTGCAAGTCTTAGGAACGCAACAGATGTGTCAGCATTGGTTTGATGGTTTGTCGCTGGCTCCTCTTCCCTTGCTACAGCTGGTCTTGCACTCAGGCTGGAGTTGATCTGCACTGACACTGCTGTTGCTGCCACATTGTGAGCTTCAAAGGTTCCTGGCACCAGGTCATCAGATATCTTGCAGACAAGTTCATCTTGGGTGCTCTGAGGGGATGGATTGTCCTTGGTCCAGCACTCCCTAACAGGCGTCCTAACAGATTCTAAGAGCTCCTAGTGCAGTGACAAAACACAATAAAGGCCTGTTATTTTAATGGCCACAAGAAAACAGGAACACATCCTTTGCCTCTGGCTCTCCTACCAATTAAATGATGTTTTACTTCAAATCCAACAGTCTTACAAGTATCGATGCAAGCAAGATGTTATTACCACAAATACCACAATCTTATTCCCTTAATAATAGAGATGATAAGAAAAGGTTCAAATCATTCCTGCAGCCTTTTTCTCTATGCATACCTCCCGTGTTATACTATGTGAATTTTAGAACTTTACATCTGAAGCTCCTATGATTCCAGCTGCTGGGCCTTTTATTACTAATAAAATACTCGTATTTTCTTCTAAAGCCAATATGGACAAAGGTGTTCGTCAGATAGAGATAAATCTACAGAGATAGCTAAATAGACAGCCGTACATAGGCGTTAAAAATAAATAAAGGTACATTTTAAAAGAGGTGCGAATCAAAATAATTTCCTTCATGGCCTTCCTAAAATGAAGACGTTCTAATGATGGGTCATTCAAATTACCTCGACCTCCGCATCCCCCAGTGACAAACTGTCAGGATTCTCTGGCTGTCCAGGGAGGAGAGTGGCTGGTGTTCGGCGAAATATCGGCACGTCCTCCTCACAGTCTGACTGCAGCAAGATGAACAAGACCCAGAGGATTCGGTTTCAGAAGCTGGGTTTCTCGGAGCCGGTACCACACCAGCCCCAAGTACTACCACGCAGCAACCACGACCCACTTTCCTAAAAACCAACCCGGTGAAGCCGATTCTCAGTTCATCACCCAACAGTCTCGGAGTGTTTTGAAGGAGCCATAATCAACACTTTTAGATTTGAACAACTAATGGTTTCTTCCACACTGAAATATAGAAAAGAGAAGCTACATTCCAGCTGTTGCATCTTCTCCACACTTGAAAACAAAAAGGCGAAAGATTTTAATTGTTGGGCCTTCTTCAAGTGTAAAGAAACCCCAACAACCAAGAGGTTCCGTTTCACCTTACTGTCAGATTAAGCTTGATCTGTTCCTTTTGCAGCAGAAGCCTGTCTGCGCAAATCCCTACTCAAACTTTTAATGTGGGTAGCTTTTTAGGTTTTGCCTTGTAAGCGAGAGATGGTCACAAGAACGTGTTTGCTGGAATCAGGCGTGATGCATTGAGTGGCAGATCTGAAGAGACAGATCCCCTAATGGAAAGGGCAGGGTGAACAAAATATTTCTCTCGAATTATACTTAAGGCTCTTTGTTTTCGATGTTGTAGTATTTGTTGTTGGTTTTATTTATTGAAAAACAGTTCTTAAAATAAACACCATAAACAAATCACAAACAACCAAAATACACACTATCCATAATAACAACCAAAGTCATGTCAACCATTTTAACCCTAATTAATGGTCAACGAATCTTCAATAGACTCTGGTTTAGTTAAATTTCTTAATTGGCTTCTAGGTTTAGGGTGTTGTTTTATTAACCGGATTTATTGTAGGCCTTATACTTACGATTACACACTCGAGTTGAAAAATTTGTGTGGGAGTCTCTTTCAAAGCCAGTGAAAGGACGTGGAGGGCTAATTCGACAAACAGCAGGATTGAAGGGCAAGTGAAATTTATTTAATTAGCGTCCCTAGCAAACTGCTTGAATGCTTGAGGCAAACAGCAGCTTTAAATAGGACGCTGCTCACTTTTACAGAATTTTAACGTTTTCATCTAAGATGCAGCTCGGCGAAAAGTAAAGTTAAAAGGGTGTCATGTGAAGATTAAAAAAAAACACCGAAAACGGGGATCCCTTTTATGTCATTCATTTTAAACGCACAATCAGAAGTAATGCTGCAATCGGAGACGTGCAGTTAACCGAACACTGTGCCAGATCCAATCCGCTGTCTGAGAGTGCATTAATTGTACAAATCGTGAAACATTTCATTACTGGTAAACCACGGGCAATCTCTTAAGTCCTCTGGTCGAAAACCGTATGCTTGGTCACAAGACTACATTTTACTGTAACTCTTGAACAGAGAGTTACCCACAGTAACTTCGTGTATTAGGTATACATTATACAATACTGCAGTGGTAAACCACTACAGGGGACAGCTAACTTCGGGTTTATACTGACCCATTGCTGAAAATAGAGAATACCGATACACAATACCCTTTACCAACTCCAAAGGGTCCTACTGAATAATAGCGTCTCACAACTTATCTACAAAACTGTTCATAACCGTAAATCGTGCTGCCCATGGTCTTACTCCGGAGGAGGTATCGGACTCGAGGGAGGGGATGAAGTCCTTCACGCTGGCAAATATCGAGTCCCAGTCCGGCCGGGCACCGGGGCGCTCCGAGCTCATCTTCAGCAGCTGCAGAAGGAAATCAGTAAATCCTAAAACACTGATCACCACATTAACAACTGCTGCACACTACAATAGGAACCCCCCCAAAAAAAAAAGTTAAAGAAAAGGGTGCTAACCACGAACGTCATCCCCAAAACAAGTGCATACATTTTAACCGACAGCGAAGTGCCCAGTGAGCAGCTCGAATGACGCAAATGCAGGCAGTTGAAACAATTTTAAAAAGGGTGCGAGATGTGTACCTTAGTTCTTCAACACGTTAAAAACAGACGCAATATCATGAGCTGTGTTTCGCCCAAGTGTCCGATAGCATTTCCGATGTTTTAACACGCAGAAAGTCTTCAACAGAAAACTTACAGCCGCAGTCACTTCTTGCAATTAACACACGCAGCTGCGCAGCTTCTCGGTTACCAAGGCAACACAAGGTGCGCCACTGCGCTTCCCAATCCAGGAAATGTACAGAAACCCAGTTTCTAGAGATAATGTATTTCTCCTTCACTATAAAGATGCCAAATACCTATTGCTGGCTAAGCAGGCCAATGTCTTTCATTTAAGGAATGTCAATTTATTTTACTCCTTTCCTTTAAGACTCTTTATTAAACACCCTCAAACTAATTTACAGTTGTAGACACTGCAAGGTCCTTCAAGCAAAAAAAACTATCTTTCGTAGTTATTTTTCTAAATAAAAAGCCTAGGTTATTATTATTATTATTTGTTTTTTATTATTGCTTTAAAAAAATCCAGAACTACATTGCGTATAAAAGACCTTGTGTCCGTTAATTTCAAGATATTACAGCAGGCTCTTGATTTCACAAACAAAATACTTTGGATTGGATATGACGCAGGGTCATCGAGGGGGCCTCACGGGAAATGTAGTTTATTGCAGATGAGTTCCTCCCTGTAGTTCTTCAAAGTGAGAAAAGGGAATGACTACAGATCCCAGCTTTTAAGGAAAGCAATTTCCTGGAGCGAAGGTGCAAATATACGAGTGACTTTGTAACTTGGGTTTGTTTATTGAGGTGGCGAGTGGTTGATCGGCAAGCCCTGAAACGTCCATTACGTGGAGATCAGACAAAGACCACAGCAAGTTGAGTGATAAGGTATTTAATCTTTTTTTTTTCTCGAGGCTACACGGAAGCATTTTCACGGATCAAATGCACTTGTGATGAAGTGTTTGACGGACAGCAAGAGGGTAGAGTTCGGTACATGGAATTAATCGATGAAACTTAGCCACTTGCTTCGAGACTCGACTTAGTTCGGGGTCCATTATTTCTTTTCCGATAACCAATCTAGGGTCGCGGGAACTCCGATCCCAGCCCGACACACAATGGACAGGATTAGTACTGGACGGGATGCCTTTCCATCGTAGGGCACGCATACATAGTCTCTCTCGTAAACATAGGCGGAAAATTTAGAGATCCCAGTTTACATACTGTAGACAGCTAATCTTAAGACTGCGAGAGGAAACCAGAATACGCGGAGAAAGTCCACACGAACAAGGGAGAGATCATGCTAGCTCCACACAGACGGCATTTAAGACCAGATTCAAACTCGGGACGTAACCATTGCGAAACAACCGCTATACACAGGCGCTGCATTCAACTTAAAATAGCTAGGGGACTAGACGGTCGCACAAAAATTGTATGTTTTTCTTAACCGAAATGTTAATTAGATGTTCACAAACAAAGCTGATGATTGAATTTGTGTGAAATCGCACCACAGATACACTGATAGCACAAAATAGCAGCAAGAAAAAACTTCAATCTAAATATTACGACCAGATAACCGAAGCTTCTTGCCAGTATTTTATTTGTAGCATCGGAATTGCTACAAATTGATATGAATTACTTCATATCATGTTACTTTTTGTCTGGCTTAGTGCGAATTAAGAGAGTGAAAAACTGTACGTTTTCCAATTGACTGGACCCCACTTAGCACACTGACTCTTCAACACTCTGTGACATTGTGGTCCACATGGAAGAGTGCCACCTTAGTGGTCCACCAACACCTCTTACCTCAGCATCCTGATTCTTCCTGGGTGCCTCCCATCCCTGTACTTACTAACCAGGTCCAGGCTTGCTTCAGAAAACAGACAGGTTCAGGCTGCTCTCTAACAAAAATCAGCAGAAAATGAAAAGCAAAAATCAGCCAAACTCAGTGGCCAATATGGTGGTATACCAAGTGTCTTCTAGATGGTAATTGTGCTGGTTAATGAACACAGCCCGTGGGTGGACTAGGTGGGGGTTCTAGGGGGTACTGGGGGTAACGGCGAGGGAGAGCACCTGGTGAGGTGCAGCCTGACTGACGGGCCGATTTCCCCCATCAGGAGGATGTCGGAGCTGAGTGACGAGGCCAGCGAGACGGAGCAGCTGGGGGCCAGCCTGTCCGTGTGGCTGGGGGCGGCGCCGCTCGTGCACCCTGAGGAGCTGGACGTGTCGCTGGACCTCCACACAGCATGCTCCATCGGCCAGTACGACGTGGTGGCCGAGTCCATCAGCAGGTGGGAGTCGGGCCGGGGGGTTGCTGAAGCTTGCCCCAGAGGGGGTAGGACATCGGAGGATCTTTTGTTTTTTATGCTATTCTGCTATTCTGTCCCAGCCAGCAGACATCCACAGAAGAGCGCGTTTTAACCTGCCTTTGTAAAACTCGGAATCGAGGTCATTCAGTCAGACCAGTAGGGGTGAATTCCGCATTGATATGCACAGGCGTGAGGGAGAGAGACAACAGGTGCAGGAATATTCAGCACCAGAGGGGACAAAAGAAAGACCAGGTGAGAATGAGCCCTTCTGAATGATGTGAAATCCGGAGGACGAGGTCTAGGAGAAGGGTGAAAAGCTCAAATCTGGAAATGAATGGAGAGGATGTAGAAAGGAAATTGGCTGATTATTGAGACTTGAAACTCCTGCGTTCTTCGTTTTTTTCAAGTGGTTTGTGATGGATGATGTGCTCCTAGTGTAAGGATAATCTTGGTTCCGGATGTCTTTCTGGAAGTACGAGTCCTGGAAATCCCTGCAAAAAGACACAAGGCAGGGTAGGATGTGCTCTCTCTCTCTCTGTCTGCCGGGAGAAGCAGAGACGGAGATGCGCTTTCTGCTCTCCAGAAAGAAATACAGTAGGATTAGACATCCTTCCGTTTCTACACCTGCTCGAATCAGAGCTGTCAATCCTACTGGGGAAGAGGGGGATAAAATAGACTTGAGCTGCAGTACATGATCGTCTGAGAAAAGGAGAGTGAGTCTCTGAAATAATAATAACAGTTCTGTAGTAAATGTCTTGCTAGGTCCTGCTTTGATAGCACTGTAATTCCTCAATCATACTGAGTTTGAAAGGTCAGTGTGAATTGAAGCAGGGAGCGGTAAATTGAATTGATAACAGTTCCTAACTCTTCCGTGGTCCCTCTTACCCCTCTCTGAGCTTTGTTTCCCTGTACTCTGTGTCTGCTGACGAATCTCCCCAACTGATTCTTTATTTCCGTTCACTTCACTTGCTTAAAACCTCGTAGATTAACGGGAAGCTCTGAGAATGAGCTCTGTTCAGCAGATTTCCTCTGCCGTTTTAAAACGCCTCCCCTGCATCTGGGACTGGCATCCCACGTAAGACTCACTTCTTAAGATTTTAAGGATCGATGCCTCAGTGCTTGCTAATACTAATGCACAGAGAAGGATCGGCTGTGGACAGGAACTTGCACAGAGCCTCTGGTGGTTATAACTGCTGCCCCCTGGTGGTAAACACAGTTGGCGTGCCTTTTTGTGTGAAGTTTGTATGTTTTCTGCTTGTGCTCTTGTTTCCTTCCATCTTCCATTGACCTTATAGCTGTGGGTCCAAGTCTGGCGTCATCCTAAATTGCCTGTCTGTTAGGAGTAGAATGCTGTTCAGAACTGGTAGCGATGAGTTTCAGAAGTCCATCTGCGAGAGCGCAGGGAAACCCTTTTCCATCTCGACTGGCCGACTGATCGTTTTTTTCTTCGCCGCTCAGGCGGGAGGTGGACCTGAACGGGAAGAATCGGGGCGGCTGGACGCCCCTGATGTACGCCGCCTACATCGGGCACGACAACATCGCTAACCTGCTGCTGGAGGCGGGGGTCAGGGTCAACGCCACCACGGCCAAGGGGCAGACGCCCCTCATGTTGGCGGCCAGCTGCGGCAACGAGAGCATCGCCTACTTCCTCCTGCAGGTCAGAGCCTGGGCTTTACTGGCAGGGACTATGATCACAGCAGCCCTTGCGGTCCTGTCGGATGGCACTGGTTCCACGCGCTCTTTCTGCGCTTTCCCAGCCACTGCAAACGTGAAATTGGTCCTGCTGTGGCCTGAGATGCTTTCTGGTGAATTCAGGTTAAGGTCGCGACCCCACTGTCATCACCATCTCACCCTGTAGTCTCACTGCTTCTCTGCTGACCTCTTTGCTGACTTTCCCTTTAGAGAGATGCAACTCATCATGGCAATACTTTTCAACAAACATCTCGGCTTCGGAGGTGTTTTGATGTAGAGTGCCATGTGGCCAGAATTGATGGTTGGACGGTTATTGACAGTGCTTCTGTGAATATCTCGACAAGAGACTGATGTACTTGAATTCCCCCTGTCCTGTGTTCTGAAAGCAAGGAGCAGAGTTAGAGCAGAAGGACAGGAGGGGGTGGACAGCCCTGTTCCACTGTACCAGCACTGGACACCAACAGATGGTCAAGTTCCTCCTGGACAACAACGCTAATGCCAATGTCAGGTGAGTCCCTTTATAGCATGGATACATGTAAGAACAAATGGTTACAAATGAGAGGGGGCAATTTGGCCCATCTTGCCCGTTTAACTGCTTCTTATTGATCAGTCACAGTTTGGCTAGGAGGTGCATCTCTTTGATCTGTGTACTATTGTGATCATGCACTTATTTTTCATTGTTGAGCTGAAGTCTGACCCTTGAGTTTATTCAAGACTAAAGAGATTTGGTTTCTTTAGCCAGCTGTCGGTACCTTGAGAAATATAGTCCAGGAATGACAGGTTTGAGTCATGGAAATGTAATTAGGCAGCTGTGACCAGGATTCTCCCAATGATGGTTCAAAAGTGATTTGAGTGGGCCAATGCATCATCTGCTTGCTTGCAGCTCAGACTCTTGACTTGAGGATCTGTGACCTTGTAGTATGGGCAAACCGCTGCTCCAGCTAGTGACCACTCACCTATTGGTGCCACAGAGCTTGCAGGATGATCAATAACAGGTTGCTCTGACCAGCCTGCTGCACAGAGAAAAGCGTTGTCCTTGATTCACAGAGATTTGATCTGCTGCATAAGCCTCGTTTTCTTCCTCTCACAGGGAACCCATATCTGGCTTCACTCCCTTAATGGAAGCCGCTGCATCCGGCCATGAAATCATTGTCCAGTACCTCCTAGAACATGTGAGTATTCAAGCTGGGTACCGGATGAGGCTGGTCTAGGGGCCATGCGCAGGCTGCTTGAGGTACCGGGAGGTTATTGAACCTGTGTCTGTGTCTCAGGGGGTGAAGGTGGATGAAAGGAATGCCAAGGGAGAAACGGCCCGGGCTCTTGCCATGCTGTACGGGCACACCAAAATCGCCAGCCTCATCGACATGCACCTGGTCGCCATGCGCCCCAAGCCAGGTACCATTGCAGCACCGATTCTGTACCTGCCAGGAAAACTATGGTGTTTTTCAGAGCTGCGATACAGCAGGGGACCTTAACCTAGGTCCCATACCATCAAACAAGGGAACCAAATCGGTTAACAAGAGGCTTCATCACATCTGAGGTGCAGGCGTCTTTCTTATGAATTGATGATTTTTATAGGAAGCTAAAAACAGAAAGATGAGACATTCTTCGGAACAGAATAGTGCCTTTTAACACCGAGGGTTAACAGTAAGGGTATGTAGCACTCAGACTGGATCAAAGAATATTCCAACAGAACTGCTCCTCCTGCCAGTCCTCTGCAGATCCCTTCTGCTGCTTTTTTAAGACTGCGTGAACACGAATTTTACATCACGATGGTTGCAAGATGTGGTTCTAGAGGAGATTATGTCTGCTGGTGCTTGTTCATGTCTCATTCTTGTGAATTTCCAGGTTGCCATTCCTAGAGAGATAGGCTTTCAGGTTTTCTTGACTAGTGATGGGGAACCCTAAGTTGGCTTTAGTGAGCTTTACCTGTACTTACCAATGACTGGATGCTCTCAACAAGTGGTTCTCAACCCTGGTCTCAACACTTGAATTGGATAACCCAGCTAACACAGACCATCACAACATTTTCAAACACTGCTGGAAGGTGGTGGGTAGCTTATATTAGAAAGAAATGTTTTCTTCTAGCTGACGCTTTCATTAACGGACACGTTTATATGGCAGGTCAATTAACTGGAGGGGAAGTACTGTGCTCAACAGTTAGGGCTCAGTGCTTATACTACTTATCGAGTAGTTGAGCTCATTATCGGTAAACCTGGTCTCCCTGATGTGAATTTATATAGAAAAGTGTGGAGATTATTGTGCATCACAGAGGATAAAGAGTACAATTGGATCAAAAGCGGGAAGATACAGGGGGTATTAAAGGATCAGAGTAAGAATTGTTGTTCTGAAAGAAACCTAGAATGGTACTAGGAATCAGATTAGTAGGATCATTGAATTTGACAGCTAGATCAGGCTTTTGGCTTCATGCAAACCCAGTGGCTGCTTTTAACAATCAATATTGAAGACATCAGCATTTGTTTTTCTCAGTCATACCTCAGGGATAGATTTGTCTGATGGTCACGCACCCAACAGCTGGAACACTGGTCTTCCTCAAACAGATGACGCTCTTTCTCTCTTTTGGCCCCAGGGCACTTCGAAGACCTCAGCTCGTCGGAAGACTCTGACAGCGCCCCCCGCAGGCCGCGCCCCAGCCGCAGCAAGGTCAAAGGGCCCAGCATCCACGATGGTCCCCAGGCCATCGCCAAGTTCCGAGTTCCAAGCAGACGCTGCGGTACTCTCCCTTCCTCAAAGGGTGCCCTCTGTGAACGCCCCGAGAGGCTTATGAACTTACCTCAGACCAAGTCTACCTTTAAAAGTCATCAGGAAAAAAAACAAAAGATTTTAAAAGCTCATACCAGTTTAGCACTGGGAGTGCAGTTGTTAATCACGGCGTTGAAATGTGACAGACTGGTGGTGAAAAATTCAGCCAACTCCAAATGGAGAGCAGCATTTTCAAAGGCTATGAGATATCAGTACCCAATGCCACTTGAACACAACAGGAAGCTGGCAGGTTTAGGTTACAGACGATAGGAGGCAGTAGAGCCTTTTCTTCTTGCACAAGAAAAACGCCAGACTTGAGCAGTAAAAGCTGCAGATCTTGGTTGTCAGGTATGTCAGGTGTTGATTTGGGAAGGGTTACACTCATCATTTCTTGAATTCAAGGCATGACCTATATAAATGTTGTTGACATAAAAAATAGGTTCTGATTGCTGATTCAAGCACCTTTCATGTAGCTCATTCTGAAGAAATTGCATTTAAAGAACTTGCTTACATCGAGCTCGGTGTGTGAATCTTCAGTCTGCAATCGAGGGTTCTCTGAAATGTGGAATTCCTTTTGAGGCGTAGAACATTGCAAAACATGCAAGGGTGGCTTGATGGATTTGTCTCACACTTGTGGCTGGCGGAGGCTGGTATGGGCTGCCCCCACGAGGAAGTGATTCCCTGTGTTTCCCAGAGCCCACTGTGGCACTGCCTGGGTACGTCACCTTCCACAACGAAGGGGAGCAGAGCGACGGCCTCCGCAACCGCGATGTCACCTCGCCCATCAACGAGCTGGACGTCCAGAGCAACAGCAGCAGAGGTGAGATCGCACTCTGGGCTGCCCCTTGCTTGAGTTTCTAGTTCCCCAGTAGTGTGGGAAGCTGCTCCTATTCTGGCAGGTCTGGGATTTCCGGGATTAGATTCATTATGTTAGGGAAGAATGTTTGTCTGTTCTCTGAGTATTTATTGCAGGGTAGCAGGAAGAACAGCTTGGTCAGTATTTATCTCTGCTGGCAATGGGAGCACAGCTTGTTCTCTCTGGGCAGCCTGGTCTACCCGTGTCCTGTTTCTGTGGTCACTGAGACAGTCCTCTTTGGATACCCAGGTCTACCTGTGTCCTGTTTCTGTGTCCAGGCTGTGGTCGCTGATACTGTCCTCTTGGACACCCAGGTCTAACTGTGTCCTGTTTCTGTGTCCAGGCTGTGGTCACTGAGCCTGTCCTCTC